AACACGTGGGGGGTTGGCGGGTGCTCTGGTGTGGTTTGTTTCTTCTTTCCTATCAAACATCTATCGTCCTTATCTCTCCTTCTTCTTTTTTGTGTTTGTTACTCTCTAAACTCTCTTCTAACACCTCTAATCTTCTGTAGGCTACTTATATAACCTTATTGTGTTGCAAGTGCCGTAAAACTCTTACTAAAACTAAACTTAGCCAACACAGAATGAGCAATGTGTTGATGTCTTTCTCTTTAGTCAAACTCAAACCTCAGCTTCTGCTTACCTGACCTGTATATATTTGAAATGTGTGTGTGTGTGTGTGTAGGTGTGCGTGTGTGTGTGTGTGTGTTCGTGCATGCATGTGTGCGTGAGTGTATATGTGTGGTGCGTATATGTGTGTATGTATGTGTGTGTGTGTGTATATGTGTGGTGTGTGTTTATGTGTGTGTGTGTGTGCGTGGGTGTATATATATGAGTGGTGTGTGTGTGTGTGTGTGTACATGTGGATGTAATTGTTTGAAAGTTGTGACTACATCCTGGAGATGAAACTATTAACAATGGATGGATCATGGTTCAAATCCCAGAAATGACGACAATCCCTCTCCTTCACCACAAAATATTGTACGTCACATACATCATGTATATGCCAACAGTCAAATCACCTTACACAATATCACATAAATATGATACAATATCACACATGATCACATAAATATCAACAATTCTATCACTGATCACCTCACGCAATTATGTACATAATCACATACATAATATATTATTCTATCGACAATCCTATCAGTACTATCACTTCACCTCACACAAATTGTAGATATTTCAACAGTCCTATGATCCTATCACTGATCAGCTAACACAATATTGTTTGTAGATCACGTAATATATCAGCAATCCTATCACCACACACAATATCACATAAATATCACACAATATCTCACATTATCAAATACATATCACACATGTTCACATAAATATCACACAATATCGCACATGATCACATAAATATCAACAATCCTATCACTGATCACCTCACTCAATATCACATAAATATCACACATGATCACGAGTTGATCACCTTACACAATATCACATACATTAAATATCACACATGATCGCATAAATATCAACAATTCTATTATTCCTATTACACAATATCATCACATAAATATCACACATGATCACCTAAATATATCAACAATGCTATCACCTCACCACACAATATCACAAAGATCTACCTATCACGCAATATCACATAGATCTACATATCACACATGATCACCGAAATATATCAACATTCCTATCACCTCACTCAATATCACATAAATATCACACAATATCACATAAATATCACACAATATATCACACATGATCACATATATCTGTCCCCGTCGTTTTATGCACACACAAAAAAAATGAAATTATGCAAAATGAGCCAAAAAAAGGTGAAATTATGCGATTCTGTTAATTTTAACAAAGAATGAGAAAGGAAAATAATCTGAAATTATGAAAAAAAATGATCAAATTTTGCTAAATTATGCGGGGGGCATAAAACCACAGGGACAGACAGACATACAAGTTGATCAGCTCACACAATATTGTAGAACAAGTCCTCATCCCCACGTTCCCAACACCTGTGTCCGCTAACACCAGTTGACCGCTGTCCACCCCACCAACGCCTGCCTGGGCTGATTCGTCGTCTGAACAGTGTGAGAAGACGCTGTCTCGCCCGTCTGAAAGTCCCCCCGCCAGCCGCCCTTTTCATGGTCAGCCAGGCTAAGAGAGCGGTCAGTTCCAGGAACTCGAGGACAGTCAACACGCTGGCGCCGGTCAACAGGCCTAGCTGACCTCCTATGTTTCCTGAAGGGGTGGGGGAGGGAGGGGGAAGAGGTAGTTTAAGAAGAGTTTTTCACACTTGTAGCACAAAATATAGGTCGTATGATATTATGTCACATTAAGGGAGAGGTGGTGGTGGTGGTTTTAAGTTTAGGATAGAATAAAATTGGTCATATATGTCACATTTAAAAGGGGAGGGATGAGGAGGGAGGAGCGAGGGGGTAGTTTTAGAAGAGTTTTACACACTTGTAGCACAAATTGGTCATATGATTATGTCACATTAAAGAAGAAAGGGAGGAGGGGTGGGGAGGAGGTAGTTTCAGAAGAGGTTCGCATGCTTGCAATGCAAATAGCTCATAATATATGATAATATTATGTCACATTAAAGGGGAGGGGTGGTGGGGGTGGGTAGGTAGTTTTAGAAGAGTTTTACACACTTGCAGTCAGCGCAATTAGGTCATATAATATGTATATATTATGTCACATTAAATATTTGTTTGGCCAATCTGAATTTATAATTTACATGAAAATGGCGAGTATTGAGTGTAGAGTGGTTTTGGGTTGGGTTTTTTTTTCTACGAATAAATGATACCTTGCATGAAATTGGCAAGGTATTTAGGGTGTAGAGATTCATAAATATTTTTTGCAACTCTGAAATTATAATTTACATGAAAATGGCAAAGTATTGAGGAGTAGAGTGTGGTGGGTTTTTTTTGGGTTTTTTTTTAGGGGGGGGGGTTCTACGAATAGTTGATAATTTACATTAAATTGGCTAACTATTTAGGTGTAGAGGTTCTGAAATATTTTTTGCCTCTCTGAAATTATAATTTACATTAAAATGACGAAGTACTGAGGTGTAGAGTGTGTTTTGGGGTTGATGTTTTTTGGTTAGGTTGTTTTTTTGTTTTTTTCAAGAATAGTTGATAATTTATATTAAATTGGCACGGTATTTAGGTGTACAGGTTTTTATTATTTATTTTTTTTTGACACGCAGAATTGATAATTTACAATTTACATTAAGATAGCTAGGTATTTATGTGTAGAGGTCATTAGAGTTTTTGTTGCAACGCAGAATTTATAATTTACTTTATACTGGCAAGTATTGAGGTGTAGAGTGGTTTTGGTGTGTTTTTCTACGAATAATTGGTAATTTACATTAATATTGCAAAATATTTAGGGTGTGAAGGTTTTTAATTTATTTTTGCCTCACAGAGTTTATAATTTACATGAAGTATTGAGGTGTAGAGTGGTGTTTGGTTGGAAATTAATTTTTCTACAAATATTTGGTAATTTACATTAACATGGCAAGATATTTAATTAGGTGTGGAGATTTTTAAATTATTTTTTCACCACTCTGAATTTATCATTAAAATTAAAATAGCAAAGTATTGAGAAGTAGAGTGGGGGGGG